ACTTCTTGTAGGGCTTCATTTCATTTAAATAACATATCATAAACTAGTTTTGAGAAGTTAGAGCTTTTAACAAAAGAAAGTAGTACAAAGTGTACAAAGAAAAATGACCAAGTTATAAAGTTGTTGCGTCCTGGAGTATTCGCGGCGGTAGAGAAATATATAATTTAACGTCTTGGCACTGTACGAAGATCCAGCACATAATTAGATAAGAGAGAGGGTGTAGCATTCATAAGAGACGCCAGAGTTTTTACGTGGAAACCCGTACAAAAAGGGGGAAAAACCACGGGGCCTGACACAATTTGAATGAATCCACTAGTATTTGTTGTCAATTACAAATGAGGCCCTTCCATGGGAGAAGGCTTTGGCTTAATGTCATAAATGCACTTCATATGGAGTGTATTATATGGTATGAGTTTCAATATATGTGTTTGTTTTGTCGGCACGATCATAGTCGATAGGATGGAGGCCGAAAAGACTGTTGTCTCGTGATGGAAGCCGGAAGGATCATAGTAGGAGACGAAGGTTAGAAGGACCGTAGTCGGCAGGAGACCGGGGTCAGAAAAACCGTTGTCTGTTGATGGAGGTCGGAAGGACCATAGTAGGCGACGGAGGTCAGAAGGACCGTAGTCGGCAGGAGATCGAGATCAGAAAGACGGTTGTCTGTTGATGGAGGTCAGAAGGACCATAGTAGACGACGGAGGTCAGAAAGACCGTAGTCGGCAGGAGACCGAGGTCAGAAAGAAGGTTGTCTGTTGATGGAGGTCGGAAGGACCATAGTAGGCGACGGAGGTCAGAATGACCGTAGTCGGCAGGAGACCGAGGTCAGAAAGATCGTTGTCTGTTGATGGAGGTCGGAAGGACCATAGTAGGTGACGGAGGTCAGAAGGACCGTAGTCGGCAGGAGACCGAGGTTAGAAAGACCGTTGTCTGTTGATGGAGGTCGGAAGGACCATATTAGGTGACGGAGGTCAGAAGAACCGTAGTCGGCAGGAGACCGAGGTCAGAAAGACCGTTGTCTATTGATGGAGGTCGGAAGGACCATAGTAGGCGACGGAGGTCGAAAGGACCATAGTCGGTAGAAGATTGGGAGAACTCTGGGCATCAAGTTGTGGCTTGGTGGAGCTCAAGGCCTAAAGTAGTCGTCCGGCGGAAGTCCGGGCCTTAGGTGATGTTCTGATGGAGCACAAAGCCTCAAGTGGTGGTCCGGTGGAAGTCCAGGCCTCAGGTGGTCGAGAAAGGCGAGGGCTTTAAGCGGTGGTCTGGCGGAGCAACGGCGTCAGGCGGTGGTCTGGCGGAGGTGAGGGCCTCCAATGGTAGTTCGGCGGTGGTCGAGGAAGGCGAGGGCCTTAAGTGATGGTCCGGCGAAGGTGGGGGCCTCCAGTGGTGGTGTAGCAGAAGTCCGGCGGTGGTCCGGCTAAACTCTGGCGGTGGTCGAGGAGGCAAGGAAGCAAGAGCGATCTCCGATATCTCTCTTTTTTCCTTAGGCTTAGGGGGGTCCTCCCTCAAGAGGAGAGGGAGCTCTATTTATAGATTTCTGAAGTGGCACGACCCGTAAATAGGTGAGAGATCAAGGGTAAATGGGGAATGGTCGGATGAACGGCCGATGTTGAATCCCTTGATCATGCACCGTTCTTTAGACATTTGAAGACCTTAATGATGTTGGAATTCGACGATCTTGGGCTCGTTGGATTTGTCTCGTCGATCCGCTCGATTCGAGTATAAGCTTGTTATGTTTGAAACCGTTTGGTAATCCAAATTGTGGTTTGAACCTTCCAACAGCGCTTCGGGTCCTTGATTTGGACCCATTTGGGCTCGGATTGGGTTGAATTTGGTGTCGTTGGGTTTGTATTTCTAAGACGCTCAGTTTGACTGTAAGTTCGTCGTCGGGTAGAAGTATGGCCTCGGGCAGAAGACCGTTGAAAGTTCATCGACGGACAGAAGTCCGACAACAAGTATTAGTCTGACGGCATGAAGAAGTCCATCGTCGGGTAGAAGTACGGCCTCGGGCAGAAGACCGATGAAAGTCCGTCGATGGGCAGAATTCCAACGACGAGTAGTAGTTCGACGACAGGCAGAAGTGCGTCGTCAGGTAGAAGTACGACCTCAGGCAGAAGACCGATGAAAGTCAGTTGATGGGCAAAAGTCCGATGGAAGTCCATTGACGGTATTCTGGCGACGTTAACCAAGAATGTATGATCTATCCGAGGTTGTATGTCAGAGCCTTTGCTCGACGACGTTAACCTGTATGGAAGAGAACGATAGAATCCACCAAATATATAAGACCTATCCGAGGTTGTATGTCAGAGCCTTTGCTCGACGACGTTAACCTATATGGAAGAGGTCGAGAGAATCCTTCAAGGATGTAGGACCTATCCGAGGTTGTATGTCAGAACCTTGCTCGATGACGTTAACTTGTATGGAAGATGTCGAGAGAATCCACCAAGAATGTAAGACCTATCCGAGGTTGTATGTCAGAGACTTTGCTCAATGACGTTAACTTATATGGAAGAGGTCGAGAGAATCCACCAAGGATGTAAGACATATCCGAGGTTGTATGTCAGAGCCTTTGCTCGATGACGTTAACATGTATGGAAGAGGTCGAAAGAATCCACCAATGATGTAAGACCTATACGAGGTTGTATGTCAGAGACTTTGCTAGATGACGTTAACCTGTGTAGAAGAGATCGAATTGTATCCCCCTTGGATCGATTTTGCCTTGATTGGGAGGGGACGAATGCCGCGTGTATCCCGAATCAAATGTGAAGAATTGTCTATTTTTAGACCGTTACTGCCTTTTTGAGGTTGATATTAAGACATTGCCCAAGTAGTAGAAGTCTTGTAAGGGACTATAAATCTTATAATTATTTGAAAGCATCCTTGCATTTGCTGGGATTTTCTTGTAATATCATCTTGATGTTGGAAGTATTGGAGGGATCTTCTTGATCATAGTTGGAGTCAAAGTTGCCCCCCAGTTCGGATCTGATTTCCATGAAATTGATAAATCAATGGCTGATGTCAGCAAGTGGATATTAACGTCATTTTGAGGTTGGAGCAAAAATTGCCCCCCAGTCGGGAACCATGTTCCCACAGACGGCGCCAAACTGTTGCGTCCAGGAGTATTCGCGGTGGTAGAGATATAAAGTTTAACATCTTAGCGCTGTACGAAAATCCGGCACGCAATCAGATAAGAGAGAGGGTCTAGCATTTATAAGACACCAAAATTTTTACGTGAAAAACCCCTAAAACGGGAGAAAAACCACGGGGCCTAACCCAATTTGAATGAATCCACTAGTATTGCAGTTGATTACAAATGAGGCCCTTCCTTGGGAGAAGGCTTTAGCTTGATGAACATTTTATAGAGTACATTACATGATGTGAATACAAAGAATCACTATTGACGTGTTCGTTTGGTCGGGAGAACCATAGTCTGGTGACGGAGGTCAGAAGGATCGTAATCGGCGGACGACGTAAGTAAGGTAGAAGTCTAGCGATGGACATAAATCCATCATCAGATAGATGTCCGACAAAAGTCTGACAACGAGCAGAAGTCCTGCGTCGAGTAAAAACTTGGCGACGAGCAGAGGTTTGGCGTCGGGTAGAAGTCCGACGTCAGTTAGCAGCTGGGGAGAACTCCGTCATTAGATGATATTCGGGCAGAACTCCAGAGTCACTTGGAGATCGGACAGAACCCCGGCCTCACTTGGAGGTCAGGCGGAATTCGACGTCACTTGGAGGTTGGACAGAATTCCGGCGTCACTTGGAGTTCGGGTAAAATTCCAGTGTCACTTGAACGTCAGGCAGAATTCTGGCGTTGCTTGAACGTCGGACAGAACTCCGGCGTTGCTTGAACGTCAGGCAGAACTCTAGCGTCGGGTAGAATTCCGGCGTCGGGCAGAATTTCGGGGTCGGGTCAAATTCTGGCGGCGGTGGTCGAGGAAGAGTTTCTTCCCTTCTTCTCTTCTCTTGCCCTTCTTCTCTTTATTCAGTCCCCTCTCATGAGAAATGAGATGTCTATTTATAGATTTCTTGGAGTGACATAGCTTGTAAATAGGTATGAGATCAGGGGCAAATGTGGAGTGATTCGATGGACGGCCGACATTGAATCCCTTGATCATAAATCGTTCGTTAGACATTTGAAGGTCTTAATGATATCAGAATTTGGCAATCTTGGGCTCGTTGGATTTGCCTCGTCTAGCCGCTCGATTCGACGATAAGCTCGTCATGTTTGGATACTGTTTGGTAACTCAAATTGTGATTCGAATATTTTGAATGTGCTTCGGGTATTCGATTTGGACCCATTTGAGCTCGGATTGAGTTAAAGTTGGTGTCGTTAGGTTTGTATTTCGGAGACGCTCAGTTTGACTGTAAGTTTACTGAAATCGGAATTCAGACGGTCTCTGAATTAATTTCGGAAGTTTCCAACTTGATTATGCCTCGAGATTCAAGCCCGGTTAACATAATTTTTTTATGACGTATCAAAAGTATTGAAACTAGTTGGTATGATTCTTTCATGTTAGACAAGTATGATAAAATGATGCAAACTTCTTCAAAGGGCAAAAGAAAACATTTTCTCTAGAGACGATTGGCAATAACTACAGTGATTGTTAGAATACTACATATTGTGCTGTTCGACGCAAATTATGTTTACTTACTTAAGGAACCAACAAACAATTAAATTGTGGTTTAAACAGTGTCTAAATCCCAAACTACATATTTTTGTTATTGTGTCAGAAGATGTGTTTGTAATATCTCGTATTTGTACCATTATGTCTAGGTTTGTTAAAGAAAATTAATTAGTTGTCAATGCCAGAGGTAAGACGTCAAATTTACTTAAGTAAAACATCTTGTCCTCCACATTATTAATAGCATGATTATAAACTTATTTTTGTACTAATTATTTACATTGGATTCCGACTTGAGGGAGACAAAGACTGCCAAAAACCTCATCAACGTAAGCTGTCAATATACTGCAAATATATATATATGTTAAAATCTATAATGCAGCATAATGATTAGTCAAATGCGTCAGATATTTAGGCACATTCACTGGAATATGCCAGATATTTTGGTATCTAGTTTCTTCATTTATGCCACAAAATTTCAATTATGAGCAGTTTCAATCAGCCAGCTGAAGTAGAAAAATTCACAAATTTACTGGTGGGAAGATGGCATAGAAAGAATCAATCATTAGGCTATGGATTTCCTGTTAAATTCTGGCGTGGAGCTGTCAATGGACTTGTTCTTCAGACAAAATTACAGAAATTTTCGTCAAGTACTGAACTGTTATTATCGCAAGATGACCTGCTAGCTGCTAATCCGACTTTGTATAGGAATTATGAATTGAGCAAGTAAAGAACTAGACACTTCAATAGCTTCCATTTGTGAAAGCGACAATCAGGATGATCCGTAGCAAGGTGGGAGAAAATGATTAATTTCCTGCTATAAGACGTAAATAAAGGCATCTGTATTCTATGGAAATAGTGTGCAAAGAAGATGCAGGTAAATTGAAGTATTCTATATATGATTGTTTTAGTTTCATGAACAAGACTTTCTCAATATCTGACAATTAAAAGCAGCACAAGGGATAATCAACAAGCTAAGTTAAATGTCTCTTAATCAAAACTAACTTGATAATCCCCGAAATTTTCCATCTCCAATTAAATTTTTTATGCAGTTAAAAATAAAGTAATCACATCATATTACCTGCTGTTACCCATCGTTGCTTTTAGCTTGGTTGGTGGGTGAGTACGGTTGGGAACCTCCCAACCCGTGCTCGATTCCTCTCGAGCGGCAGCGCCTCTTATGTGGAGCTCAATCAAGTACGGGCAGGAGGTTTCTAAGGTGGGTGCCTCTTCTAGGTCATCCGAGGATTAGTCATGCTGCCAAGCTCCCTTTCAGGGGTAGCAACGGGTGGATATCCTGTTAAAAAAAAAAAAAATACATGCTGTTCTATCAGATAAAAATGCAAGCGTACCGGTGGAATGCATACGGACTGTCAAGATGGGTAGTTTAACTGTGAAATCCAGATTATAACCTTAAAATGCATCAATGATAAATCCAAAAGATTTTTGTCCCAATTAGGGCAGCAGTAAATACATTTGCAAGCAATGTTTAATCTCTTTTTGATCAGAAGTATCCAAAACCAATAAACAAAAATCCAAATCACCAATCAAACATACAATGTCACAATCTTTATCACCATGAGAACAACTCCAACTATTTGGTATCATGAGCCCTCCACCACTCACCCTAATTAAAACTGCATTAGGCTTTGCCTCCATCCAGCAATATTAATATTAAACAGCAAACTTGCTTCAACGAAAAGTCTGCACCATAACACTTTAATAGACAACTACAAGCTGGCTATACAGAAAGGGAGAGAGAGAGAGAGAGAGCGAGCTTGAATTCCTTAATTTTTTTTATAAGATTTGGAAGACAATTTGGCAAAGATTTTGCTCATATCAAAACTATGGCTGCAATGCACCTCTTGGCTTAGACGTCAAGTCCTGGTGGCCGGTGGTTCTGGTTTGGCAAGAAGGACAACAGTTGACACCGGTGTGGCCAATGCCTAATTCATGCCAACAATGAGGATTCCTATTATGACAGCTGTTATAAATAATAAAAGTTTTGCATTTTTATTGACTACGTGCTTTAAAATTAGAGATGGTTGTCATGAATAGAGAAGAAAAGAAAAGCAAAGTGAGGGGATAAGCAGAAAGAATACTAGTGAAACAAAATTAAGAGAGAAAAATATTTTGGTGTGCAACTAGTTGTATCTGATTAGTATTTATGAAACTAGTGATGCCAGCCTCATTCTTATCATTAACCTTTCCAACATAATATAACTTCAAACTTTCCCCAACATCCAATTTTTTCCTTTCCATTTAGTTTCAAATAAACTAACAATATATGTTCTCTTTCTTACATGATATTCACCAACTCTCTCAGCTTCAAAGTTCTCAACTTTCATCGCAATCAGACTAAGTTTTGATGCATCACTTGAGGATTCTATCATAGCATTACGAGAATAGTATCACTATTCTTCTAGAAATGGTAACTATCTAATCCATAAATGAAAGAGCGCTTATACACAACTATATCTCGTTTTCATTCAAAAGAAGTTTCAAGAAAAATACACGTTGATGACAAAAAAACTGCATCATACCTGAATTAAACTTCCTTGCGATGCTTCTCAACTCCATTAAGAAGGGAGGAAAAGGCAATATATACTGCAGGTTCAAATTTTTGGTTCAACGTTTTAACCCATTAATTCTTCAGTTGATGTCCTGGTTCCATTGCATGACCTTGAACTGCTACAGTCAACAATGACCCCAAGATCAAAAGTCTACATCTGCATTGCTTTCATCAGAATGCTTAGAATCAGATGATTGAAATGTTGTAGCCGTAATTGTTTTCTCCTTTAAATTCTTCTGGCATTGTTCCAACCATATCCTTCAACTACCAAAAAGATCAGATGAAAAATTTATCAACCAAACAGTCATAATGCTGTTCATAACTTCATCGGCCAATTCATGCAAACATTTATATGGATAAAGCTACCGATAACACAGTGCAAATGCACATAAATCAGAAATTAAGTAATATGTAGTACAAATTTACACGTCAAATTTACTTTACAAACATAAATTCAATATAAAGTTCCATCATGTTCATTCTCATTTGTTTGCATAACAAATTTGGTCTTCACAATTTTTCAATGACGCAAACAGAGTTTAAGGTCCCCTGCCAGACAAGCATGCCTCAGACGCTCTCCAACACAAGTCCAAGTTGCTTAAAATTGGGTCCAATTTTTTTTTTTTTTATATATAGGACAAGGCCGAAAATACTCCTTGAACCATGTTAATTAGACTTTATAGTTTATACTGAATTAGCAGATTTTAAGCCTTTAACTTGTCAATTGCCTTGAATAAAATTGGAGCAATTAGTTATAAGAGGTCAATCATTCAAGGCCAAACGCAGCAGATGCTCCTTGATGGCCCATCCTTTTAAGGAAAAGAGACAAGGCGATGTCATGAACTCCAAGCTTCATGTTCCTAAATTAGATTGAGGATGCTGAAGGAAGATTCTATGAGGCTTTGCTAAAGGCTTGTAGTATTGATTTGGCTTGTGCACTCTTAAGTAAATATCTTAGGATTGCTCCATATTTTCCTTTCCTTCCCTTTTTTTTCATCTTCCTCTGATTCAGATTTCTTCCTATCAGTTAAATTTTTTTAACATGCCAGAACTTCCGCCTACTGCACTGTTGTTTACATCTTCTAATCTTTCGGTTTAACCATTAAATTTCTATTCTCCTGCAATTGTCATCCTATCTTGTGCTTTTGTCTCTACTGTTGACCTCTATTTCCACTTGTTGATAGCTCAGCATGCAATAATTTTCACGAAACCCAATCCCGTAAATTTGCCTACTCAACAACCCTCATTTTCAGCACTTGCTGACAACTTCGCATCATAAATTTGATCACTTTTTAATGACTTCTCGCCTTCTTGACAAGTTGACTTCTCTCTTTCTTTAGACTTGCCGACAACTGACATCCTTAAGCTATCGGCTTAACGCTATCCTCCGAGGCAACTCACTTTCATGACAACTCAGCATCCTAGAGAAATCAGCTTTGCATCTTCCTTCTTGGTAGCTCACCTTCTCAGCAACTCGCCTTACCAACACACGTCGAGAACTTCACATGCTAGAGTTATCAATTTGGCACCTTCTTCCTTAGTAACTTGACTTCTGGTCACTTGCTAACAGCTCATCATGCTAGAGTTATCATCTTGGTGCAATCCTTTTTGATAACTCACCTTCTTAGCATTTTACCAATAACTCAACACCTTAAAGTTGTTGGCTCATTGTAAAGTTACTCTCTGCAATCACAACAAGTCATAATGAGAAGATTGACTTCTCGATATGCCAACCTACAAGCACGTGTCGTCTTGCTACTGTGGGCTCCAAAAATTCGGGCCCCGGCCTATTCGTGCCTCTTTATTGATGGGAAGAGTTTAAACGAATTTAGTTTCAAAGAAAAATATTCAGAAGGAAAATTAGGTTTTAGATAAGACATTACCAAGAGTTTTTGCTCTCATTTTGTGAGGACTTTATGATCTGAGTTCTAGTTTATCATGGCGCAAACTCCTATTGTTAATTACCCCATCCGATAACAAGAGAGAACATTCGATTAAGGTTAGTCGTTAAATAGGTCGCAATACCTAATGTATAATATTAACAATTTTAGGATTTGAATTTGATTTTAACTTTTAGAGTTTATGACTAGAAAATTGAAATTTATCACCATACATTAAAGCGGGTGATGGGGGAATGATGACGGGCCCAATCAAGTTCCCATGGTTCCGTCATCCCAAGCTGTCATGGTCTATGGTCTACTTAATCAGAGAAGATAGTCGACCCAACCTTATCAGCAATCATGGGTTGCTTCGTCCTAAAATACCTTGTATACTTGGGGTGGATGTTTGCCTAATATATTCAATTTAAGTCAACCTTAGTTAATAGATCATTTATATCATATCAAGGCAAAGCAAGCACACCCTATAATTCATTACTAAAGGGACTTTTAACCATTAGGGAGCATACGGGCTTTGACCTTGACCATAATATAGTGGTGCCATTTTGAGATAAAACCACCAAGTTAGAAAACATGTACGCCACGTCCTTGCTGGTGAGAAATTAATTAAGAATAAATCGTAGTACTATATTCCACAAAATATCTACTATTTGTAAGCTGAAGTTATTCTTAAATTCATTATCTTAGCTAAACTAATGCGAAGTGTAAAGGAATTTTGATTTTAAGTTTTTGGTGACATTTTATTTTAAGGATTTAGACTTTTAGTACGATTTGAGTATAGGTTTTGAATGAATGATTTTAGAGTTTTGAGGGCATTTTTAAAATTCAAAAGCTCTTTCCAGTTAAAATTTCTAATCAGCACGGCTATCATCGAAATTGAGAATTTTTAGCAAGTCTGTAAAGCATTATCAGATCTCGCATTTAATTAGAAGCATGACGTAAAGATTGGAGCACATGCGGAATGCTTTTCCAAGTGTGATAAGGCATTCCTTGTTATCAAATTTAGCAATTTAGATTTGATCTTCCAAATATGGATGGAAGGATAGAAAGCACGCCTATTTAAGGATATTAAAATCATTTGACACTACTTTTTGAGGTGGATCGACAAGGCAACCCAATTAATTGCTTAAAATTTTCTTTATCGTCATTTGTGAAGTCTTTTTAATGTCTACTACACGTTGTATTCTACGTAGCTCTAAGTGGTGTGTTCACAAGACCTAAACTACATGATATAATAAATAAAATCAATAAACAATCTGTAGGCCCAATTCACTATTTCATTCACATTATATGTCAGCATAACCCCTTCTGTTATTCCAAAGCAAGCATACAAAATTATCTAAGGTCTTCTATTCAAAGAAGCAATGATGTTTACCCTGAAACATCTTGCATAAAATATGCGCCGCCGGTGCCTTCAAAGGACATGACTGGAGGATTCTCCTTGTCTAATCCAATTAAAGCAAATTAAATTAGGTTCTTAATTATTGGTGATAATATAATCTTAGGGTTGACAACAAATGGCTCAATCCAAACCCCCCTTTTCAATTGTTTCTTGCCTTCTTCCTTATCAGGTGCAGTTGGAGCTAATATTGAAAGATTTAAATCCTTATCGATAGGTTCATTCCTAACTTTAGCACACTTGCGCACAATCAAATGGATCACAACATCATTATATTTATAAATATCTTGAATCAACAAGTGATCATCAAGCTCCTTGCCATCATGGCATAGCTTTTGGCTCTCTAAATCAACAAGATTCTTGCCTCTCCTAGCAATATGTTGCTTGAAATAGGAGACAATGCAATTTCTTTCAAATTTTTTTATTATTGTTATTTTTTAATTCAATTGAAATGACATTTTTTTCACTTTTTATTTATTTAAAATGACAACAAATTGTTTGAAATTAATTATGTGAGAGTTCTTTGTCATTTAAATTTTTGGCAACCTCCCGACATCCCACCCCCTGTGTAGGAGGTGTCGGATAGACACTTGTATTTCAATTTTCCTGGCCGGATCAAATATACGACGGCACGAGGTCTTCGTATATTCATTTCTTCTGACCGAATCAAAGATAAAAAGGTGCGGGTCGTCATATCTCGTTCTTCTCTCAACCGAATCAAAGATACAACAACAAGTCTTCGATACCTGTTGTTTAAGCAAACGAGAAAGAGATTTATACCTCTAGTGTACAACGAACAACGACAACGGAAGTGATAGTTTTAAATAAACATAATAATCGAAATAATAGTAATAATATAGAGATTGGAGGATCGAAGGGTTGTTTCTGTCGAGTAGTGTAGGAATCACGTCACTAAAGGGCTTCGACTCTTATATGCGACAACCAAAGAGCGAGAGAGTCTGAGTCTTCAACGTCTGCGTACGACACAGAGGGAGTCGAGAGGATGGGTCGGGTCGGCAGGGGGACTGCTTACATGCGTTTACAGGCTGGAGATGGGACATCGGGATCAATCGGCTCAGGTCATGCGCATGCATAGAAAGAGATGAGTGGGAGAGGGAGTGCGGCACGGTGAAACTGAGAGAGGAGGGCTCATGCGAGTGCGGCAAAGTGAGATCAAGCATAGGTTGTTCGTGCATATGGGGGAGACGAGAGAGAGAAAAGATGGCTTTAGCCTTCCTTGTGTGCAAGAGAGTTGAATGAATCCTCCAACCACTTTTGCATGCAAATTTGAGGAAATGAGAGGGTGCGTCATTTGGGAGCAAAAAGTTGTGTTGTTTGAGATAGAATCATACGTGAGGTGGGGTCAATGGTCAATAGCCTCTCCATCAACTCAAAATCCTTGAATTGTTAGCTTAGCTTCCTTGACCAACTTTATGGCATATCGTGAGTTGACATCATCTCCCTATGTAGAGCACATCCTATTATCTCCTTCCACACAAAAGTTGATAGTTGTCGTAGTTTTCAATTCGCAATCAAGTCTCACAAGTATCAATACCATACCATCCCCTGCCATGTGATTGAACGATTGATACCTTCCATTATCTTGAAGAAGGAATAAAATCACTAACTTTTTATCACCTCCCCCGACCACCAACTTACGCAAAAGGGGAACTATTTCTCTAGCAATCAAGATCCTATCTTGAGATGTTGGGTCGGGAGATAACTTGAGGGTTTCATTTCATGTTCCAATTGTGGGCTCCGAAAATTCGGCCCCAGCCTCCGCCCGCACTGTGTTTTTATTTGGCGATGGAGTTTTAACGGATTAAGTTCCGGGGTAAATTTTGGAAGGAATATGGGTTTGTAGATAAGACACTACCCAGAGATTTCTCCCTCATTTTGCGAGGACTTTATGATTTGAGTTCTGGTTTCCTATAGGCGCAAGCCCCTATAGTTAATTACCTCTCCCGATAATGAGAGAGAACTTTTGATTAAGGCTAGTCGTCAATCAGATACGTATAAATACGTGTTATCTGGCATATAATAGCAGCATTGGGTTTAGGTATTTGGAAAGTTTGGATATTTGGAATTTGGGTAGAGATATTTGAGAAAGTTTGATATTTAAAATAGAATTTTTCACCATCTTACACTTAAAGCGGATGGTGTGTGAATGGATGATGGACCCGATCAAGATCCCATGATTCCGTCGTCCCGGGCCATCGTGAACCCTGGTCTACTTAGTCAGAGGAGGTAGTCGACCCAACCTGACAGAAGGATCCTTGTCGGCAGCCATGGGTTGCTTCGTCCAAGGGTACCTTGTAGACTTGGGGTGAATGCTTGTCTAAGGGGACAAGTTTGAATCCATTTTAGCAAACATAAAGCTTTGTGCCATATCGATCATATCCTATTGATTCATATCTCAAGGATTTGATGCCACTAAGAAGCGTATTGGCTCTGTCCATAACCGGTATTTCGTGGTACCATTTGGCGGCAAAACTACTCAGTTCAGAGGGCCCCGGGTCATAACCGTTCATCCTGCGGTGCCATTTGGTGGCAAAACCACCGGTCAGAGGACACGTACAACGTCCTTACTGGTAAGAGATTGTTTGAGCATAAACTCCTACGATTAATTACATCACCCAATGATAAGAGAATTTAATTAAAGCTAGTTCTTAGAGACTAAATGCATAACATATAGCAGCCACAAATTTAATTTAAGACTGAGAAACTTATCGCCTTCAACTTGAAGCGGATGATGGGAGAGATGATAAAAAAATCATTCAAGATCCATGATTTCGTTGCTTCAGGTTGTCATGAACTCTGGTCTACTTAGTAGAAGTTACCAACTATACATGAAAAAATGATCCTTATCGAAAATTATAGATTGTTTCGTCCAAGAGAATCTTATAGGCCTATGGTGAAGATTAGCAAACAGAGAGCTTTTTCCCTATAAAGTGAAATATTTTTTAGTCATTGGGGAACTTGTTAGCATTGGTCATGATGACTGTAATTTAATGATGTCATTTTATAGTAAAAATACCCTGTTATAGGCCCCTAGTCATAACCGTTTATCTGTCGCATCAGCAGCAGAGCCACTAACTATGGGGCACATACCACATCATTACTGGTGATACATCGATTGAGAGTGAATTATAGCTATATGCTCAGAAAGGCATCGACTCATTGTGAGTTAAGATTAGTCTTAATTTATCATCGTTGACCAACGAGGCAACAATCACAAATAATGGATGAATTTTTGTTTTAAGTTTGTGGATGTTAGATCTCAATCGAAATATTTTATTTTATTTGTATTTTTCATATTTTCATCTAATTGTGGCCTCGAAATGATCTATACTAGGATTTGGGGTATTCTGAGAGATATGGTCACTTCCAATTGATGTTTACTTTCAACATCAAGGATTTTGAATGATTTTATTTTGTTATTTGAATCTGATTCACTTTGCCCATCTTTGTCAGAGGATCAGGTTCAAAAATTAGCTTTTATGAGTTACCATGCAGGAGGAATAGCTTTAAGAGTTGTACTTTAAAATTAATTTCCCTCGTAAGAGGCATTAAAGGCCTATTACAAACGCAATGTTTGGGTTCATCGCGTGGACATCTGTCATGCCGTTCGAGTCTTGTCATTTCATATTCGTTTTGTACACATTGATTTTGTTATCTCTAAAACCAAACAAAAATAAAATGAAAAACATCAAGGAAAAATATAAAACAATAGCAAATATGGCTTAATTGGGTTGGTTTTAAGTTAAAGGAAACAAAATAAAAAATAATAGCAAGCATGGCTAAACTAAATGGGTTCTTTTTAATTAAATAAAGAATGACGGCATCTTCTATTATAGCCAAACAAAAAAAATCGCCCAAACAAATTTAGTAGTGTTATTATTTAACAATGATTTCAACAAATAGAAAACAAAAAAGTTACTAACGACATAATCCGCAAAGCAAGCATGCAAAAGCACAATTTATTGCCTAATGATATAATTCATACAGGCAATAAAATACTGAAACTCGAAGTATGAAACAAAAAACAGTTCAAGTGATATTTGGCATAATCGCGCAAGTCTAGCTTTACAAATGCATAAGCATTAGTGATATTCCATTCATTGCAAATCATAAATAAATAAATAAATAAAATAGTTCAACATAAAAAAATAAAATGTAGAGCTAGCCTGATTTGAACGAAGAATACCTGAACGGTAAGAGATTTGATCACTTCCTTTGCGGCCTTGCATTTTGAAGTTTCTTCTGCGGCAGTTGCTGTAGCTTCCTTCAATTGCCGTCTGCTTGATTCTAATTCTGCTTCTAGAAGTTGAGATTTTTTCGTTAACTCTTCTAACTGCAAAACAAAATAAAGGTCCAATAAATGAATAAAAAATAGATAGCATTCATGCAGAACACTGCGCTAAAAGATGGAAAAAAGGTCCAAATATGGGAAAATTAGATGACTAATAGCCAAATAAATTCTGATATAGTCTGAGATGCCATAACTAAACAGGCGTAGTATATGTCAAAGATCAATATCATGAGGATGGCATCAGCTCAAGTATTTGCAAGAACGTGATGAATAATAGATACAGCTTACAGCTGCTTTCAAGATCTACGCACCCAACAGGAAATGCTTTAGGAAAACGAAAAATGGTGGGGGTGTGGGCTCCGAAAATTCTTTCCCGGCCTCCGCTCGCTTTTCTTATTCGGCGAGGGAGTTTTAACGAACTAAGTTCCGAGGTAAATTTTGGTTTACCCGTAGGTCAACAGGGGGAAAATGCATATGCATTTGCCAAGGAAGACCTTCTCAGCCACAAAGAGTTTTAACAGTAGTGCGGTGAAACTATTTCTTGTGGCAAGATATTTTCATTAATGGCACATATTTGGCCAATCGAGGCAGCTCTGGAACTGTTGCATAAAACAAAATTTCCCGCCGACTAATTAGGTGCCAGATGTTTAGGCTGTTTAGCTAGTAGGCCTAGTTAGGATGTCACCCTGTAGGAGTATTCACAGCTAACTCATGGAATGGGCTAAACTAACAATTTCTTAGCTAGTAGGTAGCTGGTAGGCCCACCTAGGATGCAGAAGCACACGCAAATGAAGTAAGGACTGACTGGAACGCAATTCCTGAGAAGGAATCAAATTTATTCATATTCATGTGGGGATAAGTAAAGTAACATTTTAGAATTCCCATTAGCTCAATATAAACTGAACTAAAACTTACAATTCCTCTCAAGGATAAAATTGTGGGTTTGTACTTAGGGAGGGGCAGATAAATCAAGTAATTCAGGTTAAGATTAGTTTTCTTAAACCATTTTTTAAGAAATAAAATTGTAGTGTGGTTTACAAACAGAGTTTAAGACGACCTCTGCGCTTGAATGAATTCACGTTGAAGGTTTTTATGAAGAGTTTCAACTTTTGATTAGATCATTGACCCGATAGACGCTTGGATCTTACTTGATTGTTAGCCGCTAGGGTTTTAAATCAATTTGGATTTTTATTGGCATTGTGTGAAACTTGAACTGAATGATTGATAGAATTTAATTTAGGTTGTTCGACCACTATTAGGTTGGATTTTTTCTTTTTTGACTTAATAAATAATATTTTTAAGCTCAAAATGTACACACACTATATAAAGAAATACATAATTGTTCTAGCCTTTTCAAGTTTGGATTACAAGTCCAATTGCTGGTGTCTATATTGGAATGGGCATTTTGGTCTTTAAAACATTAAGAAATCTTGATAAGAGAATTCTTGAAAATCCAACAGAAGAGCCACTTAAGCAATTCACTTATGAACTATTTAGCCTTCTGTGATTTAATAGTTGTTCGATGATATTTGTAGACAAATTGATATGATATATTGCAATCAAGTAGCCTAATTTTGAAAGAGAATTATATCATAAAGATCTCAAGTATAAAGACGACAATTTGTCATCCGACGTCCTCGCTTGAAGCAAGTTCAATCTCAATCTCAAAACCAATTGGCATTGCTGGCTCAAGAAAAATGACACGTCGGCACATATCCCACTTTACAAATATAGGATTCCATCTGCCTTGAGTCAGATTGTAGTTAAATAGATTTTCTCTGAGGGTAGTATCAGGGTTTAATTAGATCTAGGACTTTACTTCCAATGAGCGCAAGCACTCATAGTTAATTACCCTTTTTAACATGTAAGTGAGAACTCTCGATTAAGGATGAATAAATTTTATGTATTTTAGTCTCGATTGTGGGGAAAATTAAAATGGTAATTCCGATCAAGATTCCATGGTTTCGTCGTCCCGAATATAATGTAGGTTTTAGTCTACCAATACTAACAATCATTGACCGTTGTGTCTAGAGAATCTAATTAGCAGTCATGAGTTACCTCCTCTCAAGAATCCCAAATAGACTAAGGTGGTTAGATGTGAGTTTTAGTTTTATTAGGTGTTGGGGATTACATCTATTAGAATGTCAAGTAGTTGATTTGGTTTGGGGATTCATAACTTCTTTTAGAAGTTATACAGAAATTTGATTTAAATAGGGTCTTACGATTTCTCTTAGAAGTAATCCGGGTATTTAAATTTGGGTCGGAACTTACGCACTTTATTGAAAGTAGCCCGTATAGCGGATCTTACGGCTCTTATTACAAGTAACTCACTAGTAGGTCTTACAACCAAGCTCTGCGGCAATGCTACCCATTAGTTTTGAATTTGGTTAATAGGTCTTACAACTCTCATAAAAGTTGCTTGTATGTTTAATTTGGAGTAAGGCTTACGACTCTATTTAGGAGTTGCCCATTAGCAGCTCTTACAATCTAGCTCTACAGTAAGATTGCCCAAGGGTTTAATTATTTGGGTAGGTCTTATAGCTTCCCTTTTAGAAGTTTCTTAAAAGTGGGTTTTACAACCTAATCCTTTATATTAAAATGTCCGTTAAATTTTGATTGAGGGTTTTATATTTCATTTAATTTTTTTTCAAATAATAAATCTCACGACTCTCATTAGAAGTTTGCCTAATTATTGGGTAGGACGAGTCTTACTGCTTCCTATTGGATGTAGTCCATTGGTGAGTTTTACAATTAACTAATTAACCCTATAGGTTAAACTGCCCACAATTTGAATTTGGTTGAAATTTTATGGATATTACATTTATTTAGAGATTCCCTAAAATATGGGTCTTATTACTTCACTTAGAAGTGACCTGATAGTGGGTCTTACAATCTAGTCCTATAGACTAGGATGTCCAACGATTTAATTGTTTGTTTGTTTGAATGGATAACAGTTGTTTGTTAGCTTGATACTAGACTGTAATTTTCAGTTGTATAATAGCATGTTGTTTACTGGTTTGACATTCTCAACATATATAACAAGCATGAGTGAGATTTCGCTATTTTCACTAGCACAGGTCTAGGATAGATTCAATTTCAAAAGCTTGAATGAAATTGCACCTCAATTGAAGATAAGTAAGTGCTTCATGGTAACACAAATTCTTGAGGGAGAAGGTAATAATTAAGCATTCCCTGAAATAAGTAACAAGATCTCAATGCTTAAATTACAACATAAAACTCTTTATCATAAATAAAGAATTTTTGCATTTATAATTAAGCTTTCACAAAAAATAAGTAAAAAGATGGCTTCATTAACTCAAGACACTACTAGTGCCTACACCAGATGCATCATAAGCATCTGTAAGTACTTTATTGAAACTAAGTAACTTGAGCACATTAGCTTTGCCCATCTGTTATTTTAAGAGGTTGGATGTCGTTAAGCATTTGAGGCCAAATGAGAGTTATCTTGAAATCTACACCAGATGCATCACAAGCCAAATGGATGTCATTCAAAATATTTATTAATGGAGCAGTAATGGAATTAAACTTTACAATAAATCTCATGTAAAATATGGTTAGTTCATGAAAACTACAAATTAAAAAATGGATAAACCGAGTATTGCTTTGATTTGAGCAGCGGCAGCTTCTCATCCCCTAACAAAAATAATGAATCAAGGAAAATAACACGCGTTGAAGAAAGGTAAACTTCTGAAGATTAACATATAACTATTCGATTCAAAGAGCCTCCAAAACGAACTTCAAATGATCTTCTTTAAAGGTAACATTACATATAATTATATGATAAAGTAAACTACTAAGGATTTTTTAATGAATGACCATAACACTTAATCATCACCCTCATGAAAATACTAATAGCTTAAGATAACCAGAATAACATCACTAACCATTCAAAAAAACCATTAGAAGTATTAAAAGCAATATTTTACTAATCTTCAGGTAATGTAAATCATCTATACATGGCTATGTTGCACCGATAAGGATACGACAACAACGATACGATACGATATGGATACAGGACATGTAAAATCTTACAAATACATAATACGGGTACGGCGCGGACACAACATTATAATTTATAAATCATACATAAAAATTAAGAAAGCAATCAAAGCATAATATTTGAAAAGACAAAAAATGAAAGCAACATCATTTGCAGCCTTGTAGCTTATAATATCAAATTAAAAGTATTAAAAGTCAAGTACAACAACAAAAACATAAACATAAATTATCTAGCACATGAAGTTTCAACTATTCAATAGAAGGAATGATATGATTAGCTTTTTCTGTGGTTTGTCTTTGAACTTCTATATCATCTTCAAAAAATATCATAGCTTTCAATTCAGGCTCCTTAAGTGAAAGATTAGCAATTTCTAATATTCACATATCATCAAGAGGTAATCACTTTCATAGCACTAGAACTACATCAATAGAAGTTCAGAAGTTAGGGCATGAAATCATGATGATAAAATTTAGAGAACAAAACCTAATTTTGCTCAAGTAAATTAGCAAAAAATATTCATTCATTTGTCATGCTCTAGGCATCAAACACCAAAACAGGATAGAAAAAACCAATCTTAAAATAGACCGCTCAACTTCCATGTGCAATAGGTGATAACTTAATAATCAAATTGATAAAATTTTATATTAAGCTATGAGAATAAAGATGGTTAGAGATATAAAAACTATCAAAGCCATCTGTAGTTTAAAGCACCAGTATAGATCCAAGAATTACTACATAGCTCTGGCATGCAAATTAGCTAATATGGAACATTCCAGTTCAAAATAATATAAATAACATTTCAAAAAAAGATTCATTGCCAATATAAATTGATGATATGTAAAGGGACTTATAGAATAAAAATTAATATAAATTGTGAGTTTCCTGGATGAATTTTCCTCATGAAAAGAAATTAAATAAGACAAGATTAGAAGACAACGAAAACGAACAGAAAAATTCATGTGGCCTCGTCTCACGTAATCGACGATGGAAACGAAGCTTGTGGTCGCTTGGCCTTGTCTCG